TTTTTTTTTTTATATTTTCGTTTTTTAATATAGCTAATTATAATATATTTATATTTATTAATTCAAAAAGAGTAACTAATTAATTCAAAATTTTAAAAAGTTTTTTAGTTAAAAAGGTAGTTTATTTTGTCTTAACAATGACACTTGGCTTTTTGTGATTATGCCACATGACTTTTTGTGATTATAGGTAGTTTTTTTTTTTTTTTTTATATTTTCGTTTTTTAATATAGCTAATTATAATATATTTATATTTATTAATTCAAAAAGAGTAACTAATTAATTCAAATTTTAAAAAAGTTTTTTGGTTAAAAAGGTAAGAAAATAATTAATTTTTTGCATTTTTTTATTGTAGCTAATTTAATTTTTTAGTATTTTTCATTTTTTTTATTTTAAAATAACTTTGAAACACCAACTATAAACTACTCCCCAATTTGAATGGGTAGTTATTTTTTTTTATATTTTCGTTTTTTAATATAGCTAATTATAATATATTTATATTTATTAATTCAAAAAGAGTAACTAATTAATTCAAAATTTTAAAAAGTTTTTTAAGTTTAAAAAGGTTAAGTTTAATTTTATTCTTAACAATGACGCTTGGCTTTTTGTTGATTATGCCACATGGCTTTTTAGTGATTATGNTAAAAAGTTTTTTAGTTAAAAAGGTAGTTTATTTTGTCTTAACAATGACACTTGGCTTTTTGTGATTATGCCACTTGGCTTAACCACATGCTTCACTACTCTCCTTTTAATATAATATAGATATAGATAGTAAAATATTTAATAAAAATAAAGTGAAAAGTAAAGAAACTAAAAATAAAAAAGAAAATCTCTCTATTTTTTTTATTCATCTTCTTTTTCTTTCCTTTTCAATTCCCTAATCTCTCTACTATTTTGTTTTTCCCTCTTTCTCTCTATTCCTATCTTATACTGTCTCTACAACCTATTTTTCGTTTCTTTCCTTCTATTTCTTTTCCCTACAGTTGCTTTTTCAATTTACCTCATTAAATTTAACATTTTGGTAATATATTATTCAAAAACCTTAAAAAAGGGGGAAATCTTAATTTTTTTTTACCACATCAATTTAATTCTTGGGAGTCACTATATATACGAAACCTTAAATAAAAGAATCGAAAATAATTAAAATTGTTACACTTCTAATTAGGTAGGAGAAAAATGCGAAAAAAGTGATGAAAAATAATTGGTCATTTTAGTTCTGGAGAAGTGCCACGTTATATCTCTATAAGTTAGATACAAATCGTATTCTTCACGCAATGACCTATAATCTATTTGTAAAATCCAGCAAAATATAAGAACTTCTATACCATATATTTTCTATTCTCCAAAAAGAAAACCAAATCAGAAAAATGCTTGTAACATCAAAGTCACCATTGCGACACCATGATCCATATACAACACAAATAAAAATAAAACAACAAAAGTGACTTGAAAATAGAAGTTGCATAGAATCCACAAAAGTAATGAAAATACATAGAAAAGCTTGCCAAAATTAACCATGTACCATTAAAATAAAAGCTTGCCAAATTTCTTCACCAGCTCTTGGAACTTGATAGAAAGATATTTTCAGTACCATCATCTTCTTCACCTAGGTTTATTCCATATACATAAATATAGTCTGATATGTATAAGTGTAGATGCACAAGCATTTGCTGAAATATTTGGTTTTACTCTAATTTTAACATGTATTACAGAATACTGTTAAAACGAAAAAGAATTTGAAAACTCACCAGCCATGTAGTTCAAATAAAACCAGAGACCACAATATATAGTTGGATTGGAAATTGGGTGCTCAAGCAGAGAATTGAAAAGATCAAAATATAAATAACAGATTAAATACAATTTAATACTAATAATTGTATAATTACTTCTAATAACGATTGGAAATATGAAATGAAGAGCTTTCATTGGATTTGTGAAGAAAAAATAAGAAG